ATCACTTTGAGCCATGTCACCTATTGTCTCCAGCCATTGATTCCTAGAGTCCCGAGGCCCCCAACCCGGGAGTCTGCATCTCCCTACCTGACTTAGTTTAACTGTCAAGGATTTCATGGATTGATGAGGCCATGTTTTTGTTTGGCCACCAGTGGTGGCCAAACAAATTTTTCATGCTCTGGAACGCCTACTAGTGTGGTTAAATTAAAAGTATAGTTGAAACCCTCAACATTTCTATATTAGACCACCTTCAACCAAACACGCCACAGAACTAACACTGCAGCTTCTTTCTGTCATCTACTGGGCATCAAGTAAATTGCCAAAAGCCTGTCAATATCGAAGGCTTCAAACACCTGAGGTTATTGAAATTTTCTTCAAACTATCGGTACTCTGTGTGCAAATGAAGCAGACCCTATGTTCCCCTAAGAACTAAGGAAACAATGTCTGTCTGTTTTCGACATAGAACTTTGCACCAATGTGTGACAGTTCAAGTCGCCACGCTCCATGTAGCACACAAAGCAAGAGAAGAAATGCATAACAGAGACAGTAAACAGAGGTGTGAGACAAAGGAATAGTAATAGCGAAGAACAATATAGTTTGATTGGAAATCATAAGTCACAAGGAGTGGATACATCTGCGCCATTGAGACCGATCAATTTCAGTCATATCACCAATTGTTTCCAACCATTGGTTTTTACCATCCCGACGAAGTCTACACCTTCCTACGTGGTTGGGTTAAACTAACTGTTGTAGATTTCATTGACTGGTGCCATGTTTTGGCTTGACCGCCGCTAGCTCTTTTCCAGCCTGTCCCTATGACCGTCGAGGAAGGTGATGAATAGGCACGCATACGTAACACATGTCCTAACCATCTCAATCGATGTAACTGCTTCACAGTCTCGTCTATTGATTTCTCCTCCTTACCTAGCACTCGACCGGTGCCTAAACTCAATGTTGCTCACCCTTCTATACTACCTAACACGGGAGACAGAGAGCAGGCACCTATGATCAAAGACAACCAACCGGCCTTTTCGTGTCTTCCACTCTCAATGGCCAGGTCTCACAGCCACAAAGCAGGACGTAGCAGACTGATGAGCAGTACGCTCGTCCTTTGGTCGAAAGCCGGATATCACGTCTACTAAGCCACAGACGGCGTAAACTGGCATATGCGAAACTGGCCCTCTGTATCCGTGGTGAGATTTCGTCAGAGATCAACCCGTTGGGGCTGATGGTGCTTCCCAAATAAGTGAATTGGTCAACGTGCTCTACCACTTCACTCCCTATTTCTAAACTAGGAGTTAGTGTGGTCCAGTCCTGTAACATCATCTTGCATTTGGAGGGGGCGAATCGCATGCCAGATATTTGTAGATTGCAGCTCAAGGTGTTCAGAAGACTCTGATGGGTTTTGTCAGCGTTCTCGCCTAGCAAGGAGGACTATATCGTTTGCATATTCTCAGTCAACGAGATTATTCCCTGGTAGCAAGTCAATCCCTGAGTGTCTGAAGTGAGTTAGGGTTAAGTCCATCAGTACATCTATGATGAAATTGAATAGAAATGGGGATAATTGGCATCCTTGACGGACACCACTAGTCGTCACCAGTTCAGATGACACCTCGCCGTAAGCCCTCATCTGGCTGTATGAGTACGAGTAGAGTGATGGCCTTAATCAGTGCAATATATTTTCTCGGAATTCCATTTACGGCCAAGCATCGTCAGATTACCTCTCGGTCGACAGAATCGAATTCCGCCTTTAGGTCAAGAAATATAATGATTGTTGGACGCCGGTAGGAATCCCTATGTTCTAGAATCTGTCGAGGGGTGAAGATATGATCAATACACCCTCTTCCTGGTCTAAAGCCTGCCTGGCTCTCCCGTGTTTGTGCCTCCCGAGCACTACTTAGTCTACGCAATATTATTGAGTCTAGGACTTTAGATACTATATTAGTTAAGCTAATCCCTCTGTGATTATCACAGGGATATGGGGATAATCAGTGGCTTACACCAACCCGATGGGACTTCCTCTGATTCCCAGACGCTGCCTAGTACCTCAGTTAATGCAGACAGTAAACTGTCTCCACCGTACTTAAATACCTCTGGAGTCATTCCATCAGGTCCCGCTGCTTTGCCTTGTTTCAGATTAGTGGCAGCTTTAGTAACCTCAGTTAGGGACAGAGGACCTGCGTCTATGTCCCATTCAGCGAGGTGTTGGATGTTCGGCAGGTTGGGCGTGGCTGTAGGCCAATTAGACTGTTCCTCATAGTGCTCTTCCCAGCGTTCCAGTCGTCTATCCTGAGAGCTAATTATGGTGTCATTTTTCCCAGAGATTGTTTCACCTATCATTTGCCTATTACCACCTGTTTTCCTGATAAGCCTAAATAGTTGTCTGGTGTTGCCAATCGCCGATGCATTTTCCATCTCTTTCGCTTTTATCACCACCAAAACAATAATATAATAATAATAACACTGTGTGATTTATCAAAATAAAATCTCATCTATAAGGGAGTTATACGCTACCACAGTGTCCAAGTTTTCTACTTATATCAATTACTACTGATATCTTGTAGATCACCGACGAGTAACCAATATCAGGTACCTATTCCTTAGTGTTAGTGCAAACTGGTGGTGAGCCACCTAGCTTGGTTACCACGCTTCAAACTTGGCTGTGATAACAGTGAGGACTGGATACATGACATCAGTTATTCATTAGTGAACAGTCCGCATAAAAAGAGCATTTAGTTCACTTGTGGTAGTAACTGGGGCACAGAGAAAAGATCAGACACCACTCCTTATTTAGAGGCACTCAACTGTAGAAGTTTGCACGTTATATATTCTATTTTTCATGTACACAGATTTTTAAGCGTTCCATTGCACGCCAAAAAATGGATATCTCTGGATCCAAATCGTTCTCTACGGCGAGGTGGATTATTAGGCAACAATTGTCAAAAAGACGTAGGGCATGTTTTAAGTCATCTGTAATCTTAGATACAATAAATGTATCTTCCATACATCTGTAGCGGAATTTACAACGGCTGATGTTTTGTTCATGTGTTCTCAAACTTTCCCGACCGATACCTGCTAGCTTGACGTGGTGGTCGGGATTGCATATCGCAATGACCTAACAAACTACATTGGCTGGAACTACTGTTCCTGCAGGTCCTATCATGTCAGGAATGTTGTTAGGATAGCGATTAGACTAAAAGCAGTTACCGGAGTAGTGTAGGAATTTCGTTTTTACACTATGCTGGAGGTCTCTGGGCGAAGTCGTAATGCTGGGGAACAGAGATGTAATAGCAGTGAGGTGTTCCCCTCAGACGACCAGCATACCAGCCGGCTATGCTGTCTCTCCACTCTAGAGAGAGGGGGTTAGAAAAGATCGACCCCAATAATTTTACATCCCGACTTACCCCGACGATGGTCCGTAACCAGCGGTAAATTTACTAATACCGAACAAATCCAAGAAACCAGTTCATACAGGCTGTGTGTGACCAGCCTCAAGCAGTTGTCCCTTGAGCTCTGCGGTTACGCAACACTAACCCTCTTTCTGTTTCAGGTACCCGAAGAATCCACCAACTTCCACGGTATGGGCAGCCACTTCCAAGAGCACACGAAACCTCCCCGAGCATTATACTCCATTCTCACACTTTAATATGAAGAAATCAGTAGGCAGAGGGATCAGTGATGACCACACTGTTGTGTCATCCTTTACTTTGTATATTTCATCATTGCAGAATTGAATATCCAACATGCATCTGAATAAGAGCTTAACCAGTGAGTGGGCACACCAATATCCAATTCTTCAGATCCGATATATTAGCACGTACAATAGATCGTTCAAGCCAGTGGGAGGTTTGTAAAAGCATTAGGTTATATCAAGTGACATCTTACCCTTTCAATCAAAACTATCCATGTAATAGACAAGAAAGAATCAAAAAGCTACTGAAAAGAGGAACCCACCCTTTAAACAACTCAGAAAATTTAATCGTTCGGCGATCCAGCGGCAAAGTGATTTTAATGAGTCAGGAATAGGTTGAAACTACAAAGGTGTGTGTACTTCACAGACCTATTCTTGAGTTTACTTTGCAGTGGACCTAGTCAGTAAAATCTTTTGTTAAACTCCAATACTGTCATATTAAATCCTTTTTTCCCTGTCATGTCTTTCTCCATCCTGCAACTGTAATTGCTTCATTGTATCATCCTACCTAATTACTTAATATCACTATAATTTTGACAGATCTTCATGTGATCATAACATCTAGATTAGGTAATTACTTTCGAACGCCCTGAACTTTAATCAAAATTTGAATTGCAGAAAAATTTCTTTGATGGCGAAGATATCTGAAATAAAACTGGATTGGTGGACTCACAATTAATCATGATATTGATGGCTTAGTAAGAAACAAAAACTTAGTTCACAAAGTGATATGGACTGGGGGATTCCTGATTACTAGCCTGGTACTATACCAGCTCAGCTAGGACAGGTTGCGCATTAATGATGAAACTACCTAAGATAAAATCCAGAATGAGAGACCACTACCATATGTACTTTTAAGTGTTTCTTCTTGTTTCTAATTCTATGCAATATACATGCATTATATGTAATACAGTAAACTTCCACTAATTGCACACCATAAAACACATTCAGGTTACCTCTGAAGACTGTAAACCTAAAAACTGTTAATCTTAACTAAAAAGGAAACTATGTCGAGGAACCGTATGAAACACTCGATTGTAACATAAACTGACGTCCACTTTTATCCTAATGTCATATTCACCGTAATTAAAGTGTGCTACTTACATTTTTCACAGAGGCACCTATCAACAGTACCATCAGCGGAGTGGACAATCATATCTTTATATTCATAGGTTATAACAAAGCACATATCGGTAGCACTATACGACCTCCATAATATTTTTAGAAGTCTTACTTCAGAGGTCTAAAGTATATTGTTACCTGAGAGAAAAAAGGCGACGACAACTCCATTTATTTACATATATGACACGTGAAAATGCCCACTTAGACTAGGTAAGTGTGGTAACGGTGAGCAAACTAAACCACAGATATAAATCCTTACAGTTTTACTAACCACTTTAACTAGTTTTCAAACTAAATATATTTCGGAATGGCAGTACTGAGGACCTAGTATTTTCAAGTTGGACAAAATAGAATAGAAGATACTCACAGATGAATTAAGTATTAGAAAAACGAAAAACGTTATTATAATTGTATTCTAAAAGTCCTTTTTACACTGTACTAAGTTCATCGAGATTTTGATGGGGCAGATATTCTGGGATCAGCCACGAAAACACTCTCTTTACTTTCGAAAGGCATAAAACCTGAATTCGTAGAAGGAACACAACACAATCTTACCAAACTGCCTGGATTTCGTAATCAATTGGGATATTCTCTTTTGCATTGGAATACACATTCCTGTTATGTGGCGACCATATATACGTCCAGTGTAGGGTGAGACAAATTGAGACAACAAACGTACATTCTGTAAAGTAACGCAATTTCTACATTTTTATACCTTGTAGTCGAGTGGGATATTTTTCTCACAGATAAAACATTTTTTCTTTGGTTTCACATATGGATCTGTCATATTTACAGGCTTTGGAAATATTTGTAACTATGATCAAACCAACCTTATCGTCTTCAACGTGGTGCATGATAGATGCACATCGTACACCAAGGCCTGATGTCTTAGCAGAATACCCAGGCAGACGTGCTGATATAGTAAGACAGGCATTCCAACGAGTTAGGTTGGTTAATGAAGAGAAAACTCTCATAACTAGCGGAATTTCGGATGTCCTTGAAAATTGATTTAGCATAAGACCCAGGTTTTTATATTAACCCTTTCCCCACCAGTTTCTCGCTTTTATAAGCTATTCCCAAAGGATTTGTTTATGCTTCAATCACCAATACTTCTGGGAATCAGTCCAAAAAGCTTATCCAATATCCATGGCCCTTTTTACGAGCTAGTATAAACCAATTTGATTTCTTTGTGCTCGCTTCTTGATTGTAAGTTATAGGCTCCTGATCTTCAGTAAACCTCTACGTAGCTTGTCCCGCCACTCGACTGTCGTAGCTTTGGTTGACTCCAACGGGAGTAGTGCTGGGATTAATTATATGTGGTTTGTAGTATGAGATGTGCTAAGACTGTTATCACTGTGATAAGAGTTGATCCTTTCGCCAGTTAGTCCTCCAGTATCGTCGAAAAGATAAAAGAGATAGCAATAATAATAACAGATATAATTAGTGAAGTTATTCAGACTAAGAGACAGAAACGGAAATAGGAAAGCGTAAGGCGGTGGGAGAACCAGTACACTTTTCTCTTGGATTTTAATTTGCAGAGGCATATAATTCCCTGAAATTATTAGCCTACAGCACTCATCACTCAACATTAGATGTTGGTCTTCACTGTTTAATTCTGCTCGTTAAGATGAAAGCCGGCTATCAAGCAACCACGCCATTTGGCAAGCAGTAAAGTTACGGTCGTTCGTTCGTCTCTGCACGCTTCCTAGCCACCTGAGCATTCAACTTTGCACGAAAATTTTGACTTCAAAGTATATTTCATAATTCAGATGACAAATTTGGTGTTTTTAGTTTGCTTCTGGCCTAGGCAGATTAAACACTGGGAGTTGTGCCTAAGAGAACTCGAGCTGATATACACCGTACTTTACGTAAATGTTGACACTCAGTCATCTCCTAAAAACCATATAACCCTATCTGCTGACGTATTTCTATCCGGAGGAAAGGAAAAGGGGTGGAAAATAAGTCCCATAGTTGTTTCTTAGAGTTTGAAGGTTGTAGTGAGATCTGCTCTCTGACTTCGCTATTGTAAGGAAAAGAGAATTCAGACTTCCCTGGAATGATAAATCAACAACGCCAAGATTCATACGAGTGGCTGACTGTCTAGGTGTATAGAAAACACCGAACTTTGAACTTCCACTACCTGAAAATAGGTAATAAGAAGTGTTTTCCCACCGTCGCTTCTCCATCAATTTAGTTCCAAATTAACAGGCTGTCTTTTGGTACTATATGCACGGACGTAGATGCTCGATTCGTTGAAAGCTTGAACATTGTCCGGAAGTGTATCTGAGTTCTGGACTTAATGTGACTCAAGGCATCCAGGAAACCAGTTCGTTAGGCTACTTGAATGATTCTGGGCTCGTTTCCACTTGGTTCCGACTAAATGTAACGCTCATGGTTGAGGTGTGGCTATAATCCAGAAAGACCTGAGCCCTAATTACACTACCTGCTGACTCTTTGGTCTGGTCTCCTAACCTGGTGGCCAGGCTGCCCTTAACACCTCCACAACTAGCGAAAGAATATAGCACTTGCGACTGCTAAGATATGTATTTATTGACGATGATTTGGAGGAGTGCACAAGTAGATAATCGCATCGCAACGCAAAAACACTTTATTCACATAAGTTAAGCGTTTACGCGATTAACAGGCCATTTGTACAGGCAGGATCATATTTGAAGAATACAGTTTTAGATTGAACACTTTTATGACATAAGTATTGTAAAAAGGAAACAAAATTCAAATAACTATATGTAACTTGCAATGAATGCTTTCAGAGCTAATTTGAAATTTTTAATATACCTATAATCTGTCAGCTTCACGCGGCTACTACAAAATATCACGTTGCTGGGAGGTAAGGAGAAATAGGATGTACAAGTGCCATTGAAAGACCCATAGAATGCAGAGCATACAATCATTATCGATTGATCAGTTATAAAGGGTTAGAAAAATTATAAAATTCTACCGTGACCCGTAAGTGCAGCATTAACGGATTTGTGGGATCAACTTTGCAATGATAGACAGATTTCATGATAAAGATTGTGCCATTATTCACCATATGTGCTAACGATAATCTTCATTTCTGCGACATGTGGGTTATAGTGATTTCAAGTAATACTAACGTAGAAAGCAGCATTACTGTGCATATGCAGTGCTCCAATTCAGTACCCTTGAATTCTCTACTTGTTATTATTCTAACTCTTCTTCTTACTATTATTGTTATTATTATTACCATTATTATTATTATTCTTGATTCATCTAAAACCATGCCTTATCAGTAAGATTATCTTAACTCACTTCAACACTATTAAAACTGTTATTATAACTATTACTATTGATATTAGTCTGTTTGCAATTCTCGTTATATTCCCTAATGACTAACTGTTTATCTTAGTGATGTAATTGAAGCGTAATGCAGTTTATCTTAATTTTGATCCCTCATACTCTCTCTCCCTTTATCTATTTGAACATGACCTGGAAAACATTCACACGTGTCTATCTGCACGATTAATTCAATGCAGTTTGTTTACTTATCAGTCTTATATCTCCCAATGTAATTTCAAAAGTATATATATCCGTGTATGTAGAGTATTCAGCTGACGAGTTCTACCGAAATTTGATGAATTCATTAAATCCTACTTTATTAACCTTTATTGCTTGTTTTAAATTTGTATCGGGAAATAAATGTTTTCAACCCTTGAAAAGGAAAGATGGAAGAAACAGCAAGAGAGTTGAAGGGAAAGCCAGGAAATATTAATAATTTATAACAAGCAATATCCGATAAACGCAGGTTTCACTCCCGTTTTCTTTACCAAAACTTTATGGCCATTGAATTTTATAGTGTTTGGCATTTACGGTCAGTACAAGTTTATATTAGTAAACATAGGAGAGAAACAAACGATGTTGACTTCGCCCACCTATATAGGGTAATGGTAGGAATGGATACTGAAGTAGAAGTTAAACCCAAACGCTGAAACACATATTATACGTAGAGGAAAAGCGAAATTCCAGTAATATTTAGGCTGTTGTTCTGATTTATACAGTTAGATGTCCTTCTGAAGTAGTGAAATCATACCGTATTGAGGGAGTTTGTACCCAGGCTGCGGCACTCAGACAGTTTTTATCTTCCTTTTTGCTGAAGTTGTTTAAACTTAGGAGCCTTATTAACAGAGCGTTTTCCCAAAGATAAGGGTCGCTTTCCTACGTCCCCACCATCATGTCCACTGAATAGCAGTCCCCACCCTCTCACCTTTTAATCTACTAGACCCTGGCAAAATACCTCTTTTTTAACTTTTATTGTCATGTGCCTCATAGACTATTTTTGCATTCACCAGATAACTCATCGAAATTCATGGTATGAACAACTACTTTCAGTTAGCAATCCTGTTTGTCTCGTCAGAAATAAGAAGGTTACAGTCAACTTTCTAGATATCAAATAAATATAAATGGAAACGAAGGGACAATAAGAAAGAGTACAAAAACATTGCATAATGGCACATCAAGATATATACGTATAAATAAGACAGGAGTAAATCTAAACACATGGTTCAGAAGAAATCAGCTACGCGAAATCACAGTAAAATCAAATCCGTTAGTATTCAGGACCCACCGTGTCAATGTAGTTGAAGATTGAACGATCAATTCTTGGTTGTTTGCTCAAAATCAACTTCCCAGATTTTCGCGGAGGCATCAATACGACAGTCATCGTCTCATCGGTCGCTGTTCAGAAAGAAGAGTAAAATATCGTCAGAAGTAATATAACGATTTATTATTGTAATATTTGTTTACAGACCTTAGTTCGCTTATTCCTTTTATATGTTGGTGTAACAATAAACAAATCTAAAGCGGCAGATCAGTGTTTTGGTTTTTTCGTCCGTTATAACTAAGCGTTTCTGAGAAATCTTCGAAGAACAGCGTGGGCCCGAGCGTAGCGAGAGCTGGGCATTAACGGTTTATGAGACGTGATTGACAGTTTCTGACGATAGAAACAGATCTGGCGGATTGAAACAGTTGGTGAAAGTTTGGATAGTCACCGTTCATTTGTCCTGGTGCCGGTCAAGTCCTCTTTGAACAAGCAATAATAATATATTTCTTCCTGTTTATGCAGGAACATACCAATTGTACAGGCATGGATAAGTTATTATATAAATTACACAAATTGATGTATGATGAATTTACAGTTTGGTTGTTCTTTCTGACATTAGAGTCAGTCGGAACAGTCTGCTATAAAGTCTGTTTGTGTAGCACATAAAGAGATATAGAGATATTGTCTTCGCATTAAAAAAAACCCAGACATCAGATGAATGTAATACAAGTATCTGGGAAAAAAAGCTTGAAGTCAATCCTCTTACATAACTTTGTTGTGAACAGCACCCTCGGCTCAAAGTTTATTGATGTATTATGTTGAGATCAGTGATATATTTATTCTATTTTTTCAGTAGTCTTATCGTAGTTTTATAACAGGAAAGAAATTTGATCAGGGATGCGAAAACTAGATGAGGTCATGTGAAGTTGTTTTACTGTATCAAATGGTGCTGAGGTCGATTCCAGAATTCTCCATTTGCTCCATTTGTGTCTGCATCGCGGACTGCATTCGTAAGTTCAGAAAAATGTTGAAAACTGTTTGAAAACCAGTTGCTTCTTCATTTCAGATCATGAATACTCATTTACAGCATGTTCGCCAGCGTCTTCAAATGGTAGAATTGGATCGTTCATGGAATTTGGGTGGTTATGAGGTAGATGGTTTGGAATTAATCCTCATTTCAGTTTAGATGCAGGGTTGTTCGACCTCGACCAGAAGATGAATAGGAGTATCAGAGTACCAAAAAGAGAAAGTATGTGAACATTAAAAGGATATTAATGTATATATATATAATTGTTTATGTATAATAAATTATTAAGAAATTATTTTTAGTTATAGTTTTTTTGACGAATTTATGCGAAGTCTTAGAGTCTATTTAGTGTCATGATGTGTATTAATGAGTCTGAGCGTTTTAGTGTTCTAATGACTGATGCGTTTTAGAAGTAAGTAATGAGTTCTGGTAGGGATAGACTTTGGGATAAAACAGTTTATATAGCAAGCGTTTGAAGGTTACAATAAAGTGACACGTCCTATTTCTAGGGGTAAACTATTCCTGTATGTTCCGTACTAAGTCTTTATGCATCCATGCCGCTAGTTTATTT